GTATTTAATAAATATAAAATTTAATACTTAATTAGTATTTAAATTTTTAAATACTTTATAAATATAAGCTTTAGGTGTTTATTTAATATTAGTATTTAATTAATATAAGGTTGTGTTTGGTACAACTTTGTGATAAATTTTGGCTGAATGGTTATCAGTTAGCAATAAATTGATTATTAAATTTTTAGCAACCAATACCTGTAACATCACAAGAACTTCCAAACAACAACCACCAAATATAATTTTCTGTAAAGAAAGCTAGAACAAATAAAAGAATTGCCACTATAAAACCACTGAAAGCTACCCAAACGTGAAAGAATCCACTACTTAGTTTTTTTCTCCCAAACAATAGTGTATAAATGCTAATGAACTATTAAACATCCATATACACAAGATCATTGTAAAATATTTGCTTCTACAAAAATATCCGACCGGAGGTGTTAAGTATGCCAAAATTAAAGCAAGCCAAGACCAAATGATTGATAAAAATACAGTTAATGTTATGATAGCACGCTTATCTCCGATACCTTCTGCTTCCGAATCAGTAACTTCCAAAATTATTTTAACTACTTTTTTTTCACTTTCAATGTCAATGTCAATGTCACTGTCACTGCTTCTAAATATCTTCTTAGAGTCTTTAACTACTAGGTTTCCCGAAAATGCTTTTCTACAGAGAGCTGGAATTGTTCAGGATAATAATATTGGTATGTATAGCCAATCCTGACATGAAACTGTTCCTAAAACCCTGGAAACTCCTGCCATTATACCAACTATTATATAATATACTGATACTAATGAAGAAAATCTCTCTAGAACCTATGCTTTTGCTGTGCACAATTCTATTTTTTCTCTAAATGCTTTATCTTGATTTTTACTAACTTTCATAACATAAAATCTGACAGGTCTGTATTCTGATGAAGTTGATGTTCCTTTTATTACAAAATATTCAGGTAGAAGCCAGAATATACATCGTGATAATTCATCACCTTCTATGTTAATGGCTGCAAATACTCCTATAAATAGGCAACTGAGACATCGAAATAACTATATAACTTATACCTCAACTTATTTGACAATAATGCACCTACAATAGTGATAGCTGGTAGACAACCAACTACATACTGAGGAATAGGTTCTAGTAAAGTATATATGAGCTTAGAAAACCCTGTTGCCATTTAATCAGAAGTGCTAAAAAAAATATTTTTGGGCAATAAAAGTTTATATTAAAGCTTTAACTTTTCGTATACTGTATATAAATATTATATTACCTACTTTCTAATAACTATATAAATATCTGAAATTGGGTTGCGAAGCTTGCAGGTATAAAAATTTTAAATTTCTGCAATTAAAAATTAAAGGGCATACACTGATTCCGCATGTAAAGTTGCAATAGATTTTGATTAAATATTTATGTGTTCAGGTAAATATTTATAATCTGTGAGTAGAATTTTATTTTTTAGTCGGGGTTAGCAACTGATTTAAGATTGAATTTTAGGTACTGGCTATATATACTTTCTATGAATTATATTCTGTATATTATCTTTATACGATCCAATGTGGCATTTGTTTATATTATTTCAATTTCGCAATGATAATGATGATAATCAAGTTTCTGATAGAATTTTTGCATCGTTGCAAATATTTTTTTACTCATCAGAATCAATATCATTGAACCAATAAGAGCTGTCTATATGTTGCACTTAGTTTTCATCTTATTGCGTTCTATGAAGTTAATTCTAAATTTAGATTGTTAGTGAAGCAACAGATCATAATTAGTACCACACAAAATTTTAAAATCCAGAAACTTTATTTTAACTTTATCTATTAGAAAATTCTTTAATAAGTCTAAATTTGTTTGTTCATTTACAAACAATACACAAATTCTACTTTAATAAAAAATATTTGATCATTATCAAACAATACACAAATTCTATTTTAATAAAAAATACTTGATTATTATTTTATTTATATATCATAGATTATCAAGGCATTTGCATTATTTATTCTTTTTTAGTTAGGGGTTCCAATCTTTTGCCCGACACTCATTTGCCCAACAATAACTTTCCTGACAACCATTTTCCCAACAATAATCTGCCCGACACTTTTGTCTGCCTGACACTTTATTTGCCTGACACTTTCATCTGCCTGACAAATTTATCTTCCCAACAATAACCTTCCCGACAATCATCTGCCTGACACTTTTATTTGCCCGACACTTTTGTTTGCCTGACACTTTCATCTGCCCGACAAATTTATCTTCCCAACACTTTCATTTGCCCGACACTTTTGTTTGCCCAACACTTTTGTTTGCCCGACACTTTTGTTTGCCCGATACTTTCATTTGCCCGACAAATTTATCTTCCCAACACTTTCATTTGCCCAACACTTATAATTGCCCGACACTTTCATTTGCCTGACAAATTTATCTTCCCGACATTTTCATTTGCCTGACACTTTCATTTGCCCGACACTTTCATTTGCCCGACACTTTCGTTTGCCCTACAATTTCGTCTGCTTGACAAATTTATTTGCCTGACACTTTCGTTTGCCCAACACTTATGCTTGCCTGACACTTTCACTTGCCCGACACTTTTGCTTGCTCAACACTTTGCTTGCCCGACACTTTCGCTTGCCGACACTTTCACTTGCCCGACACTTTCGCTTGCCCGACACTTTTGCTTGCCCGATACTTTCACTTGCTCGACACTTTCACTTGCCTGACACTTTCACTTGCCCAACACTTTCGCTTGCCCGACACTTTCACTTGCCCAACACTTTCACTTGCCTGACACTTTTGTCTGCCCAATATTTTCATTTGCCCAACATTTTATCTTCTTGATGCTTTTATCTGAATAAAATAAAACTAATTAGTAAATATTCAT